TGGGGTGCCTGGGTGGCTTTGTTGGTTAAGTGTCTGCGTTCAGCTCAGGTCATGATCTCAGTGTCCTGGGATTGAGCCCCATATCGGGTCCCCAGCTCGACAAGGAATCTGCTTCTCACTCTCCATCTGCCCCTCACACCGCTTATGCTCCCTTTCTCTCAAATAAATAAATAAAATCTTTATATAAAAAAGCCAAGTTGTTGTCAGCTTAAAATAGGCTTATGTCTATAAGATGCTTCAATTAAAGTACAGGTAACCATAAAAAACTATAATAGACACAGAATAAAGAAAAGGAAATAAAAGATACATACAAGATAAAGAAAAGGAAATCAATTCACAAAGGAAGATAGCAGGACAGTGGGGAAAAAAGGAACAGAGATACTATAAAACAGCCAGAAAACAATGGACATAGTAAGTCCTTACCTATTATTATTACTATTTTTTAGAAATTCTTTTTTTAAAGATTTTATTTATTTATCAGATAGAGAACACAAGTAGGCAGAGAGGCAGGCAGAGAGAGAGGGGGAAGCAAGCTCCCTGCTGAACAGAGAACCTGATGCAGGGCTTGATCCCAGGACACTGGGATCAAGACCTCAGCCGAAGGCAGAGGCTTTAATCCACTGAGCCACCCAAGCACCCCTTTACCTATTATTATTTTAAATGAAAATGGATTAAATTCTCCAATCAAAGGCATAGAGCAGCTGAGTGGATTAAAAACAAGATCCAACTATATGCCGCCTCCAGCAGTTTCAAGGACACACACAGGTTTAAAATGAAGAGAAGGAAAAAGATATTCCATGCAAATGGAAACAAAAAGAGAGAGTGGGAATAGCTATACTTGTATCGGATAAAACTGACTTTAAGTAAAAAACTGTAACAGGAGACAAAGAAGGTCATCACATGGTGAGAAAGGGGTCAAGTCATCAAGAAGATGTAACAATTTTTATGCATCTACCCAACATCAGAGCACAGAAATATATAAGGCAAATAATAGCACATCTGAAGGGAGTAATAGACATCACAGGAATAACAGGGGACTTCAAACCCCAGTTTCATCAGTGGATAGATCACCCACACAGATACTAAATAAGAAAACACTGAACTTTATCTCTACTTTAGACCAAATGGACCTAGCAGACATGTACAGACCATACCCACCAATTTCAGCAGAATACACATTCTTCTCAAGAGCACATGGAACCTTGTCCAGGATATATCATGTGCTAGGTCACAAAATAAGTCTCAGCAAACTTTAAAAGACTCAAATCATACAGAGTAGCTTTTCTGACCACAATCACATGAAACTAGAAGTTGATAACTGGAGGAAAACTAGACAATTCACAAATATGTGGAAATTAAATAACACACTCCTTTAAAAAAAAAATAACACACTCCTAAAAAACTGTGGGCCAAAGATGAAATCAAAGGGAAATAATATTTTGAAACAAATGAAAATGAAAACACAATGTACCAAAACTCATAGGATGCTGCAAAAGCAGGGCTAAGAGGGAAATTTATAGCAATAAATAACTACATTAAAAGAAATTATTTTGGGGCACCTGGTGACACAGTCAGTTGTATCAGACTCTTGGTTTCCACTCAGGTCATGATCTCAGGGTCATGAGATGGAGAAGGCTCTGTGCTGAGCGGAGTCTGTTTAAGACTCTTGCTGCCCTTCCCCCCAGCTCTCCCCTGATCTCCTTCTCTTGCTCTAAAATAAATAAATCTTTAAAAAGAAAAAGAAAACAGGGCACCTGGGTAGCTCAGTCAGTTAAGTGTCTGTCTTTTGCTCAGGTTGTGACCCCAAGGTTCTGGAATGGACCCCCACATTGGGCAACCTGCCCAGTGGGGAGTCTGCTTCTCCCTCTCCCTTTGTCCCTCCTCCCCTGCTTGTGCCTACTCTCTCTCTTTCTCTCTCAAGTAAATAAATGAAATATTTTTTTAAAAAAAGAAGAAAGAAAAAGAAAAACTATGTCACTTATGTGGAACCTAAAAAGAAAAAACTAAAAGATACAGAGAACACACTGGTGTTTGCCATTTGCAGTGGATGGGAGTAGGCAAATGGTTGAAGTTGGGCAAAAGTACAAACATCTGATTATAAAATAAATAATACACAGAATAGTTACTATTTTTAATAATACTGAATTGCATATTTGAAGGTCACTAAAAGAGTAAATCTGAAGAGTTCTCATTACAAGAAAAAAATTTTATAACAATGTACGGTAATAAGTATTAACTAGACTTATTGTGGTGATCATTTCCCAATATATACAAATGTCAAATAATTATATTGTATATCTGAAATGAATATAGTGTTATATGTCAATTATATTTCAATTTTTCAAATAAACTTAAATTAGAAATAAATGTTTACTAATTTAATTATTGGATGATCCATATAAAAATTAAATCTTCCTAAAAAAATTAACATCTTCCTAACTAAACATGGAGAATGTAAAATCCATAAAAGAAAAATATAGAAAAATTAATATAGAAATATGAAAAACATTTTTATCTGGCAAAATATACTATAAACAAATCAGTGTAAATTGTATAGGAGGAAAAAATATTTGTGAAATAGGTAGAAGATAACAGTTAATATCTATATTTTACAAAGAACTTTCCCTAACTGAAAAACAAAAAAAAATTTTTTTTTCAAGTTTTTAATGGACAAGTAATTTACTTGACAAATCAAAGAGAACCAAATACAAATGACAATATGCTCAAATTCACTGGTGGTATGTGGAATTAAAATTAAAGTAACAATGAGATATAAAACCACGACTGATTTTAGAGACAAGAAAGGGTGCTCATAACTTGTTGGTGGCAATTAAAAGTACTTGAACAGTACTCTAGCAACACATTTTAAAATTAAAATTATTAATACACTTTGATGTGTCCATTCCACATCTGAAAGTGAATTTCACGGAAATAAAAGCACCAATATTTTAGGAATATGTAAATAATAGTACAGCATGGCTTACGAGGGCTAAAGAACACTTGAAATGCAGGGTTCGTCAACAGGTGAATAACTGAATATATCAGTGATTCACTCTGCATTACGGGGGACTAGACAGCTATTAAAAATATCAGATTTGGGGGCACCTGGGTGGCTCAGTGGGTTAAAGCCTCTGCCTTCAGCTCAGGTCATGATCCCAGGGTCCTGGGATCGAGCCCCGCATCGGGCTCTCTACTCAGTAGGGAGCCTGCTTCCTCTTCTCTCTCTCTCTGCCTGCCTCTCCGCCTACTTGTGATCTCTCTCTCTGTGTCAAATAAAAATCTAAAAAAAAATATATATATATATCAGATTTGTAGGGATTTCCAAAGACATTGGTGACTAAAAAATATAAAGTGCATTATCTGTCCTAATAAACTCTCTAAAACAAACAACAAAAATATCTAAAAGACGTACACATGTGTGGAGCAATTAAGTGATTGCAAATAAATGTGTGCAAAGAAAATCACAAGCTTCCTTTGTACTGGATACCTGACGGGAATGGTGAGATGACCAGAAGGAAATGAGGAGGGACCAAATCAAAGGAGTTTTTTTTTTTTTTTTTAAGAAACAAAAATGAACTGGGGCACCTGGGTGGCTCAGTCGTCTGGGTGTCTGTCTTTGCTCCTTCATGATCCCAGGGCCCTGTGATGGAGCCCTGCATTTGGTTCCTTGTTTGGGGGTGGGGGGTGCCTCTTCCTTTCCCTCTGTGCTCTCTCTCAAGTAAATAAATAAAGTGTTTTTTAAAATGAACTTTTAAAGGGCATTTTTTGTAATAAAAGGTTATGTGGTCTTTAAAATAAAACACATAGGGGCGCCTGGGTGGCTCAGTGGGTTAAGCCTCTGCCTTCAGCTCAGGTCTTGATCTTAGGGTCCTCAGATCGAGACCCGCATAGGCTCTCTGCTCAGCGGGGAGCCTGCTTCCCCCTCTCTCTCTGCCTGCCTCTCTGTCTACTTGTGATCTCACTCTCTGTCAAATAAATAAATAAAATCTTTTTAAAAATAAATAAAATAAAACACATATGTGGTATATCAATAAATTTTTAAAATAAAGACATTCATTTAAAAATTTTTAAATTTTTTAATGTTTTAATCAGGGGCGCCCGGGTGGCTCGGTTGGGCGGCTGCCTTCAGCTCGGGTCATGATTCTGGGGTCCTGGGATCGGGCTGCATCGGGCTCCCTGCTCAGCAGGGAGCCTGCTTATCACTCTCCCCCTCTCCCTGCTGCTCTGCTTACTTGTGCTCTCTCTCTAGCTCTCTGTCAAATAAATAAATAAAATATTTTTTAAAAAAAATTCTAATTAGCCTTGGGGCGCCTGGGTGGCTCAGTGGGTTAATAAGCCTCTGCCTTCGGCTCGGGTCATGATCTCGGGGTCCTGGGATCGAGTCCCGCATCGGGCTCTCTGCTTGACAGGGAGCCTGCTTTCTCCTCTCTCTCTCTCTCTCTCTGTCTGCCTCTCTGCCTACTTGTGATCTCTCTCTGTCAAATAAATAAATAAAATATTTTTAAAAATCTAATTAGCCTTATTAAAACAAACCTTTCTGAACGCTCAAGTATTCATAATGTATGGTTTCTTGTAAATGTGCACCTAGGAAATAAATACTTACAAACTATTACGAAGAAAAACCTTACAAATGATTAGCATTACGGGTAATTTATTGTGGCTTTTACTTAACGATTTCAACAAGGCGCTGGGGGCGGGGAGCAGAGAGAAGAGAAAATCTTTAAGCAGGCTCAACGCCTAGAGCTAGCCTCACCTGAGACTCAATCTCCCGACCCTGAGATCAGAACCTGAGCAGAAATGGAGTTCGAAGCTTAACCAACTGAGCCACCCAGGAGCCCCAATCGGAACAATAACTCAATCCATAATGTCAATAACACTCATTAAATGCCATGACGACAAGCAAAATTAAAGAATAATGTTACAACTGAGAATGAAGAACCTTAAACGATAAAGCTGTGAGTTAGGCTAAAAGAGTAAGGCAGTTTCTAATACGAACTCACCTCTTTCAAATGTTCTATGTCTGGTTCTCTTTCACCGGTTTCCTCCGTAGAACTCAGACCAGGCGGAAGACTGGGACTGAAGGCCATGAGGTCGGTCTTGGGCGCGCCCTC